CTTCTCTCTTTCTTTTCCTTATAACTGCAGCCTTCTTTTCTTTTACTTTTCTTCCTAACCACTGTTTCTATCCTCTTTGGTGGCTAGGGAATATAAATAAAAGTGAAAATTTTTCTCTCTTTAAGAATTCTCTTTCCTTCGTAAGAATTTCTCCCTTTTTATACAAGGGTTTTTTACTTGGGTTCGCTTGTTGTTTTTTATTGGATTTTACCTTAAATTAAAGAGAATAATAACATAGCGATCATTTTCATCTAGATTAATCCAGACATAAACGATGATTTTCATCTAGATTAATTCAGATATAACTTGAGTTATCACTAAAAGAGATTCCAACTCTCCTTCAAAATATTACAAAAGTTTCATATAAGTTAATTCAAATATAACTTGGGTTATTCCTAAAGGAGACTCAAACTCTCCTTTACGATATTGTAGCATTTCATTTGACGTTCAGTGAATTTGGATTGTTGTTTGTTGAATATTTGCTCTCCTTGAAGCTGCACATGGTAGTTGAAAAAGTCTATTAACTTCAAACACGCATCATGGCTTTCTTTTTACTTTCTTTTTATTTTGGTAGCATTGTACAGATTATTATAGCAATTGCTAACACAATTTATAGGTATAGGTGGCTCTATGCACAGAATACTGTGACATGTGTACTGTTTGTTATTAATTTTAAAGTCTTGTTTGGGCTAAATCGTATGTACATTACGATTAATCACGTTTTTGAAAGATTTTAGGGATTCACTCCTCATAACAATAAAGTGTATTGGAAAAGATTAATTATTTCTTTAGATGTTGGTATAAACTCTTAATATTTTAACCAATGATTTAAATAACTCAATGATAATTTTTTTTATATTTTAATTAATTCGAAATCGAGTCACATCAAACCCAATTAGAAGAAAACTCTCTTAGTACCTACTTTTCTATTTAAAAGATTCGAACTCGATATCTTATTAAGGGAAATCAAATTCTTTCCATTTCAAATTAATAGATCGTTAGTATAATAATCTCTTTTTAAAAAAAGTAAAATATGTTAAATTTAAATTGTAACATATATACGAGAGAGGTATATAAAAAGAAAAAGTTCGCTTCTAATATGTAAAGATAAAAGGGAAGCTAGACTCCGATATCACATCGCTGCAGGAATTGACACCAGTCACTTTAGCTAAACAAGAACTCGAGAGCTTTCCCTTTTATCCAACAGAAGGATTTAAATTGCACTAATTCAAATAGCCTTTCCTCATCTCAGTTGGTGTTCCTGACGATGATTCCATTCCTTAGACATCCAAACGGCCCAAACTGTTATGAGTAAATAAGAGACCAGCACTTCCAAGAAGATTTTGGTCTAGGACCATAACAAAGCTAGAGGAGGAGGCTTGAAACAGAATCCAGACAAGCAAAAGAAATACCCCACCAAGAGCAAATTCTTAGTCACAGACCTTGGACCTTTTTACAAGGAGCAAAGACATGGTCTGCATATTCAAGGGAGTCCTTGCAAATCACGCAGTTGGTATTTGGTGATGGTTCAATGCCTTTAGAAATTAAGTTGGATTTAGTTGGAAGACGGAGCAGTCAAGCAAATACACTGATCTTAGATGGGAGCAGAAGAAAAAACTATAAGAGATTGCATGAATATTTATCCAGACAGGGGTCCGAGATGTCAAGAAATGAGTAGCAGGGTATGCTTTGCTGTGAACCCCAAGGGATTATGGAGCCGTACAACACGATCATGTGACTGTTAAGTGGTTGAACATCCAAGAGTAGTTCCTTTAGATTATGAAGTTCATCCAATTCCCTTCCTAAGTGATCCCTACGCCAATTCAAGTACCGGGAGGATTGGAAAAATCTCTCATTTAATATGATTGATTGGAATAAT